GGACTGCTGCACTTTCTTAACCCATACAACTTTATATTTACCCTACCTTCACCTGCTCTTGATATTCCAATTATTTCCAATTTACTTTTTCCCAGTTTAGTGATGATCTGTATTCTCCTCCTCTTTATTTCCTCCTTCTCCTTACACCTACTTCACTCATCCCCCATCCACATTTACATATGCCCCTCTCTGCTACACTCCCCCATCTCTCATCTCCTGCCTTGCACTCATTTTTCTACTCTCTCACTCCTACCCACAATCGCTCTCACCCTAGACCCAATGTATACAAAACCCATTCACACCGCCTGTCACTTTCTCTCCTCCTGCTTCTAGCAGCTGGTGATGTCTCCCAATCCAGGGCCCTTCACCTTCTCTACACACACTAAGAAAACCAGAAACCCCACAAACCTCATCACAATACCCCGCCCTTTACCCTCAATTATCAACATTCAGTGTGCACTCTGGAACGCCCGCTCCACCAGTAATTTAAAATCAACATCCATGCATGACTTTTTCATCTCAAACTCACTCACACTACTTGCACTTACAGAGACCTGGCTGTCCCCCTCTGATAGCGCTACTCCTGCCTCTTTATGTTTTGGTGGGCTACAATTCTCTCACACTCCCAGACTCAACTGTAAAGGAGGCGGCGTAGGCATCCTTCTCTCCCCTCAATGTACCTTTCAACCAATCATAACTCCCCCTGCCCTATCCTTTTCTTCTTTTGAAGTTCACACTGTCCGCCTATTTAAACCCACTCCTTTAAGAATTGCTATCATCTACCGCCCCCCTGGTTATCCTAGACTATTCATTGAACACTTTTCTTCCTGGCTTCCCCACTTCCTCTCATCTAGCACTCCTTCCCTTATACTTGGAGATTTCAATATCCCAATCAATAACCCCAATTGCACTGATGCCTCTCGTCTGCTCTCTGTAACCTCCTCCTTTGGCCTTACGCAATGGTCCAATCTAGCAACCCAAACAGCGGGAAACACTCTTGATCTTGCCTTCACCAACCTCTGTACTGCCTCTAACCTCTCCAATATTCCCTTTCCTCTATCTGACCACCATCTGCTGACTTTTGACATTGGCATACCTAAGACCCAATTGACACCACCATCTGAACATCAATCTCACAGAAACCTCCAATGTCTTGACCTAATGTCCAAACTCTAATTTTACCTATCTCAAACCTCACCTGTCCTAGCTCTGCAACCTCCTTCTACAATTCCACCCTCTCCTCTCAACTAGACATCGTGGCACTTCCTACATTTAAACGCAGCAAGCGCCCCCAACAACAACCTTGGCACACCAAGATGACTCGATACCTCCAAAAATGCTCCAGAACTGCTGAACGCTGTTGGAGAAAGTCTCACTGTGCGTCTGACTTTCTCCACTATAAATGTATGCTGCGCTCGTACAGCTTGGCTCTTTCCGCTGCAAAAGTAAATTACTTCAATAGCCTCATAACCACACTCCTGCGAACCCAAACAACCATTTCACACATTTAACTCTCTTCTTCGCCCTGTTGTTCCTCCTCCACCTACTAACTTGACCACCTCAAACTTTGCAACTCACTTCACTGAAAAGATCTCTACAATCAGGGAAAAGATCTCTCATCTTTCTTCTTCCCCTTACAATACTTCCCCTAACCTCACTCCCTCTGCTGTTCTATGTTCATTCGCACCCGCTACAGCGGAAGAGGTTTCTGCTCTGCTCCAGTCCTCCCACCCCACCACCTGCTCCCTAGATCCAATTCCCTCGCATCTTATCCGTACTATGTCTTCTTCTCTTTCTCTACCTCTCACTAAAATTCTCAATCTCTCTCTCTCCTCTGGCATATTTCCATCGCCCTTCAAACATGCAACTATAAGCCCAATTCTAAAGAAGTCCAACCTTGACCCTAACTCCTCGTCCAACTACCGTCCTATCTCGCTACTGCCTTTTGCATCCAAGATCCTTGAAAGAGTTGTGTATGCGAGATTGACAGACTTCCTCGAGTCCAACTCTCTGCTAGACCCGCTTCAGTCTGGTTTCCGCGCTAAGCACTCTGTGGAAATGGCACTGACCAAAGTATCCAATGATCTACTCACTGCAAAATCTCGTGGTCACTACTCTATCCTAATTCTCCTTGACCTGTCTGCGGCTTTTGACACTGTTGATCATCAACAGCTTCTTCTCATCCTCCGCAATATCAGTCTACAAGATATTGCTCTCTCCTGGTGCTCCTCCTACCTCTCCCAGCGCTCTTTCAGTGTTTCTTTCTCTGGCTTTGCTTCTTCTCCCCAACTCCTCTCTGTTGGTGTCCTCCAAGGTTCAGTCCTTGGTCCCCTACTGTTCTCCATCTATACTGCCTCCCTTGGTAAACTCATTAGCTCCTTTGGCTTCCAATATCATTTCTATGCAGATGACATGCAAATCTACCTGTCCTCTCCTGATCTCTCCCCATCCCTCTTGACTAGTGTCTCTGACTGCCTCTCTGCTGTCTCTAACTGGATGGCTGCCCACTTCCTTAAACTAAACTTGACCAAAACTGAAATTCTGGTCTTTCCTCCCTCAAGTGTTGTTACTCCTGTGTCTGTCTCTCTCCAAGTCAACGGTGCTACCATCAGCTCCACCATGCAGGCTCACTGCCTAGGTGTTCTCTTTGACTCCGACCTCTCCTTCAAGCCTCATGTTCAATCTATCGCCAAATCCTGTCATTTCCATCTCAAAAACATTGCGCGCATCCGCCCCTACTTAATGCCAGATGCGACTAAGGTGTTGGTCCATTCCACTGTCCTTTCTTGCCTTGACTACTGTAATCCGCTTCTCAGTGGTCTTACGTGCTCCCAACTTGCGCTGTTACAGTCCATAATGAATGCGGCGGCGAGGCTCATCTTCCTGTCTGCCTGCACCTCCCACGCCTCACCCTTCTGTCAGTCCCTACATTGGCTTCCTGTAAGATATAGGGCTCAATTTAAAATTCTGGTTCTTGCTTTCAAATCTCTACATAATGCTGCTCCCACCTATCTATCCTCCCTAGTACACAAGTATGTCCTGTGTAGGCCTTTACGCTCTGCTGAAGACTTACGTCTATCTTTTGTCCATACTCCCACCTCTGATGTTTGCCTTCAAGACTTCTCGAGGCCTGCACCGTTCCTGTGGAACTCACTTCCCCCCTCCATTAGATTTTCACCTAGTCTTCACTCCTTCGAAAGATCATTAAAAACCCACTTCTTCATAAAAGCATATCAATTAAACTGTTAATAGCTCCCGACTGATTCCTCTCTTGCAACTGTCATTAGTCTAATACTATCCTTACCTTTTGTGTCCCTTTAACCCACTCCCTCTAGCATGTAAGCTCATTGAGCAGGGCCCTCAACCCCTCTGTTCCTGTGTGTCCAACTTGTCTGGTTACAACTACACGTTTGTTCGTCCACCCACTGTAAAGCACTGCGGAATTTGTTGGCGCTAAATAAATAATAACATAATAATAATAATCAATTAGGTATCTGGAATTGCTTCAAGAACTGAGGAAGCAAAAAATTTGTTTAAACATTACCTGTCAAGAATATATATTTTTCTCACTATTAGATATACCCCAAAGAAAATATTGATTTTTTTTTTTTCTGCATGTTCTCTTTGGGAGTATACAAAAAAAACAGCTTGCAAGCCCTCCCCTTCATCCATGGCACTGACTGAAGTCTGATTGAGCAATCAGAGACTTCTCATTAAGAAGCCTCTATGCTTGGGCCACAAGCTCACGCTCACACAAGCGTGATTTCCAAGTCGTAGACTTCTCAATTAGCTGTAGTAGAGGTCATTGGAAAATATTGGCAGCACGTTCTAGTCTAGTGTGCCTGCCAATTCCATTAACTCTGCGGGGAGGACTTTTTAAAAGAGTCGATTTCTACTGAAATAAAATAAATGGCATCATCTTGCCCCCTTCTAACCCCAGGAGAGGACTATACTAATACAAGGGGAGGAGCCTGGTGCCACTCCCAGCCCCCCCCATTGCAGGATGTGGTGGTCCTAATATTTGTAGTCAGGGCAGTGGGAGGGAGCTGTAATATTAAAAATCAGTGGAGAGAACCTTGTGCCCCCCACCCCCCTCCAGCCCCACTGGTGATGAGTTGGGACATTAATTAATTAAGAAATGGGTGCTCACCCCCCAAGTTGTATCATGTCTACTCCATTCCCATGACTAAGGGTCCCCAATCCACTAGTCACCCTCAATTTAAAAACAAATTACCCTAACTAATAATAATGAGGGAGGCAAATAGAACTACTGCAGGTTAAAAAAATTATACTTACCTATCAGTGGTCAAACTCTTTTCTTCTTAAGCCTCAAAAAGGCCAAATAAAAATCCAAATTTGCAAAACAAAGAAAAATAAAAAAAAAATAAAAATCAACACAACACAAAAGAATTAATAAATTTTTGCCCTGTGAGGGCTTACTGCAGATTGGGCTCTCATATCAGGGAAAGCCATTATGAAGGTTTGCCCATGCTATGTCAGCTATTACATCCCATGCTATGTAATATAAGTAAGAGCACTCTGATTGGTTGGTTAGTAATCCAACTACTCACTGTGACGAGACCAATCTTGCCACATTGCATTGGAGGAGCCTGGTTGCCCGCCTGCTGCCTTTGGATTATGGACCGGCAGTTAAACGGTTAATTTTACTGTGCAGAAAGATTTATTCCTTCCTTTCTGCACAGCCGTTCGGTAGATTCTATCTACCGAACAAACAGACTTCTATCAGCCTGCATAAATACTGGGCAGGTAGCCCCCATTAAACAGACCACTGCTTGACCCTCAACACGGAGCCTTGTCTCGTCTTTGGGGGGATTTACTGAATGCTGATAGAGACTGTTTGCTAGGAGTGTAAGCCGCTTGGATGCTTTTCCTATTCGTCTGGTAGCAGCAATTCGTATGGTTCCTGTTTGTGTGTTTGGAGTGCTATATTGGATGCCGTTCGGGAGTTTGGAGCATTCACTTATTGGCGGTTCGTGTGTTTGGTGTTCTGCAGTAGCTGTGCCTGCATCTCTGGAAAGGGGGCCGATCGCCTAAACGGTTTTTACCCCTTTTGTGCAAAACGGTCCATTACAATTGGTGGCAAGCGGCGGGATCGTTCCTACAGCCAGAAGGACAGCTACAGGAGACACCATTTCTTTGGATTTACAAGTTAAGGGCAACGCATGTCCTAGTACAGCGACCCTGACAGCACCAGGATGGAACCAGCAGTGGAGTACAGCTACTCTATGAGAGAGTATGACCGGATGGTGTGGTTTCACCTAAGCTTCTTCGGATCCAACCCACTGGAGAGATCGGTACGGTTCGTGAGGAACCTAGTGTTCGAGAGGCTGCAACAACGGGCAGAAAAAGAAGGTCAGTTGGCACGTTGGGAGAAACTCCAGCGGCAGATGCAGCAGGGAATTGGGAGCCCAGTCTCCACTCCCCAGCGGCAGTGTGATATGCTGGGAATTGGGAGCCCAGTCTCCATTCCCCAGCGGCAGTGTAAAGTGCAGGGAGAGGAGAGCAGCGTCCTCCCTCCCCAGCGGCAGGCTGAGTTACAGGTGGCAGAGGTAGTTGTTCCTGCCCTCCAGCAGCAGAGTGATAGGCTGGGAAGGCAATGTAAAGTGCAGGGAGAGGAGAGCAGCGTCCTCCCTCCCCAGCGGCAGGCTGAGTTACAGGGGGCAGAGGTAGTTGTTCCTGCCCCCCAGCAGCAGAGTGATATGCCGGGAAGACAGTGTGAAGTGCAGGGAGAGGAGAGCAGTGTCCTCCTTCCCCAGCAACAGGCTGAGTTACAGGGGGCAGAGGTAGTTGTTCCTGCCCCCCAGCAGCAGAGTGATATGCCGGGAAGGCAGTGTGAAGTCCAGGGAGAGGAGAGCAGTGTCCTCCCTCCCCAGCAGCAGCGTGATTTTTGGGGAATTGGGAGCCCAGTCTCCATTCCCCAGCGGCAGCGCGATGTGCTGGGAATTGGGAGCCCAGTCTCCATCCCCCAGCGGCAGTGTGATGTGTCGGGAATTGGGAGCCCAGTCTCCATTCCCCAGCGGCAGTGTTATTTGTTGGGAATTGGGAGCCCAGTCTCCAGTCCCCAGCGGCAGAGTATCCAGCAGGGAACAGAGAGCCCAGTCTCCTTTCTCCAGCAGCAGGACTCTGTATTGGGAGGGGAGACAGTCGGTCTCCCTCCACGGAGGCTGGAAGTATGTATGGGAGAGGAACTTGTTACCCCCTCTCCCCAGCCACAGCTTAGTGTACAAGGGGGAGACTGTAAGCCCCACACCTGTGCAGATGGGACCGTGGTCTCTGCACTCCCAGCACAGGGGGTAGGGACAGTCGGTCCTGCCCCCCCATGACAGGGCTGTTTAGCCAAAGGGGAGACAGTCGGTCTACAGCAGCAGAGCTGTGTAACTAAAGGGGGGACAGTCGGTCTCCAGCAGCAGAGCTGTGTAACCAAAGGGGAGACAGTCGGTCTCCAGCAGCAGGACTGTGTATCTAAAGGGGAGACAGTCGGTCTCACCCTCCAACAACCAGGCTTCAACCAGGCTACCCTCCCAGTAGCGCTGGCAACAGGGCAGAGTGCCGCTGGTCTCTGCCCACGCAGCAACCCACCAAGTCAGCATACCCGTACCCAGCACAGCCGTGGTGAGGCACCTGGACATGGACAAGCTTCTCCTCTACCCAGGTGCAGTAACCATTTATTGTGGGTGGGCTGTGCTGTTGATTGTGTTTTGTGGGTGGGCTGCTGGACTAACAAGGGCACTGACCGGCAGGAGGTCAGATACCCTGTTAGACTGTTTGGAAAAGGGGAGAGATGTGACGAGACCAATCTCGCCACATTGCTTTGGAGGAGCCTGGTTGCCCGCCTGCTGCCTTTGGATTATGGACCGGCAGTTAAACGGTTAATTTTACTGTGCAGAAAGATTTATTCCTTCCTTTCTGCACAGCCGTTCGGTAGATTCTATCTACCGAACAAACAGACTTCTATCAGCCTCCCCAGAGCCATGGGAAGTCGGCCGGTGCCGTTAATTGGCCACCCAGAAGCTGGCGTGTGCCCTCCATTTACCTCCCTGAAGCCGCGGTTAACCGCGGCTTAACGAGCGTGTGCCGGCAGTTGACCACCCAGTAGCTGCGGTTAACCGCAGCTTAATTGACTGTTACTGGGTGGTCGCGGTTACACCTAGCCGCCACACGATGGTGATGTTCTGGAGCTCCCCAGGCAGCCAGCGCTTTTGTGCCAGGCTTTCCTACACCAAATCTGGACACTGTGTCAGCTAAGCACCGCTGAGCCTCCAGCCCCTGGTTCTAATTCGTACCAATTTAACGAATGTATGTAAATTCGGTATTTTGTGTTGGGGGAATGTTTTAACCCAGATAGCTATGCCATGGAGCCTATTCGTGTAATTAAAGACTTTGGCTCCATGGCAATTAAACTGTATTCGTGTGGTCTGAGTGCCATTCACCTAATAATGTGCACTCAGACCTGAGCTATCTGGGGATATGTTACATGTCTGTGGTTTATGTAATAAATGTTACTTTATGTATTTTAAAGTATAATACTGGTTTTGTGTCCCCACGTGTGTAATGGAGTTTTGCCTTTGTCTTGGGAGATAATTGAATTACTTCTCAATTATCTCCCAGGGCAGAGGGGAGGAAGCCAGGATGCATTGTGGGAATATACTGTGACTGTGTGTCCTATTTGTCTACTTGTCTGTCCCTTGTCACAGTCTCCCATTTGGTCCCCCAGGGGAGTGTCCACCAGGTGGGAGACCTGTATAAATACTGGGCAGGTAGCACCCATTAAACAGACCACTGCTTGACCCCTTAACACGGAGCCTTGTCTCGTCTTTGGGGGGATTTACTGAATGCTGATAGAGACTGATTGCTAGGAGTGTAAGCCGCTTGGATGCTTTTCCTATTCGTCTGGTAGCAGCAATTCGTATGGTTCCTGTTCGTGTATTTGGAGTGCTATATTGGATGCCGTTCGGGAGTTTGCAGCATTCACTTATTGGTGGTTCGTGTGTTTGGTGTTCTGCAGTAGCTGTGCCTGCATCTCTGGAAAGGGGGCCGATCGCCTAAACGGTTTCTACCCCTTTTGTGCAAAATGGTCCGTTACACTCACAGTGCACTGGAAGGCAAATCTTGAGAAAAGTGAGACTTCTCTCAGGACCTCTAGCCACCCAGGGAAGCAAGGGGAGGAGCTGGACATGACACTATTTGATGGTGAACAAGCAAGCTTAATTAGATACCCCACCCGATATATACGGGTGAGAGCCAGGGGAGGACATAAGGTTCCCCCACTTAATATTAATATATGGCTCTTACTGCCAATTGTTCATTGGGATTGGGACAAGTGGAGGAGAACACTAATATGTCCACCCCCTGTTGCCCAGTCGCTAGTTGCAAGCTTTTAGTAGACATGCACCCCCACCTCCTTTGTAGCTTTGCTATTAATTTTGTTTTGTTTTTTACTTTGGTAACGGGCTGGACAGCTGCCACATAATTAACCCTCATGCCACCAAGGTTTTTTTTAAAAAACTATTTCCCACAAATTGCTAGCACTGTCAGATGGCAAGTAGTTTAGAGTCCTGATTTGCAGAAATTTGTCTGGATTTCAGCCATCCAGCGGCGTTCGGCCTTCTTGAAATTGATGCCAAATTCAGGCCCATTCAGGATTTTGCAGCCTGCATGACCTTATATGCAGCCGGATGGTTTTGCCCCATTTGTTACTGAACCATTTTAACTACAGTGAATAATCCAATACTCTTATCAAAAATGGTCCAAAAGTATTTAAATCACCCCATTGAAAATATCAATCTGTTTCTTAAAAGGCATCCTAAAGTATCTAAACATATTTCATGTACCAGGTTACTCTGAAGGAGCTTTGGGGGGGAGGGGAGAAGACTTTCTACTAAGTTATCCACAAACAGAAATAAATTTGTTCCCACCCATGTCCACAAATTAGCATGTGCAGCAGTGATAATATAATGCATTGATGCCTAATACATGCAAGTTGGATTTCCATTTGAGTGTACAATGCCTGTTTTGTTTGATGTGAATGAGTGGGTGCTGTAAATATCTTTAAAATATATTTAGAAAACCTCTGCAATATATTTCTGTATTATCTGTGGGGTTTTTTCCCCCAACTTAGACGGATTGACTAACCTGCACTCAATACTCTGAGGTAGGACAAATTTGGCATTAATAGTGTGGAAGAGTTAGACTAAGTAGTGAGTGGCTTCTCTGTGTCAGGAAGTGCCCCATTTTTTATCTCAATGGTTTTAAAAAGTCCGATGGCTGCTGTACTGGCTACACTACAGCTATTTATGCATTTCATTACTAATGCTGTCACAAAGATGATGAGATTGTGCTATTAATTGATGCCTCCATTCTGGGGCATCTTTGAAAAAGCCATGTGGTGGTCCACCAAGGCAAGAGATCATGGGGACAGTCATTAACTGCATGCCAGGATCAGCTATCAATTGCATATTGCAAGCTGCGTCAGCAATGAGGAAATTTAGCATTAGCCATTGATTGGATCTCACGCTTGCTGAGTACCCTGGGAACCAATCACAATAATCATTTGCCTTAGCTGTCCATTTTGGCAATGTGATCACTGCGATAACAGCTAGATTTACTAGAACTTGCCATGTTAAAAAATTATCATCAGAGAAAAGTTACAAAAAAAATGGTTTATAACAACATGCATATCGTAGCCACTAAACCAATAGCAAAAAATCTCAGAGTAAAACTCCCATAGTAATGAATTATACTATTAATGCCAGTTCATACTTAAACTATGAACTAACCCACATAGCCACAGAAATATTAAACAATTACATTGTAAATCCTACATCTACTCTAGGCAGACATTAGATGCTCTCAGGGTTACTTACTAAAGTGAGAATTCAAAGTGAATTTTAAATTTAAGGCCACAGAATTCACTTTGAATTCTCACTTTAGTGAATAAGCCCTAGAGAGTCCATTAAATATTTTTTTGGCTATGTTGGACAACTGGCTTTCTACTCTAATTTAGTTAATTCTAAATTTAGTTAGTGAAGTCAACTAGTCCATTAGCTTTTTTTGTTTTGTTTTTTTGTCATTCCCTTCTTTATTGAGGCAAATAATAGTTACATTGCACAAAGTAAAGAGTCAAAACAAGGGTATACATGTGCATAGAAAAGTAGATTATCACAAGTAAATTTTAGAGAATAAATTCCTAGTAGAAACTGCCTCTTTTTTAAAATTTATATAGATTAAATAACGTAAGATTCAAACATAGCATGTAATG